GAGAATTAAAACGCTCGTTGGTGGCTGCAGCGGTATCAGCAGCAAGGCAGGTCGGGCACCCAGGCTCTGCCATGTTGAAGGCCGCTCAGGGCCAGGCCAAGGATCCCATCGGGTTTAGTGCCTGGCACTAGAAAATCCCAGCACCCTCCTCCAAGGTGGCTGAGCAGGGTCACCCGGTGCCACGGAGGCAGAAGAAAAGCAGCACAGGTGAGAGAACCCAGGTGTCCGAGCTCCCGGGGTTTGCCCCAGCCATCCACATCCACGTGCATGCTCTGGGCGCCAGCAGCAGATGCAACCCCCAGCACCATTGGCAATAACGGCGTGGCTGTGAGTGATGGGTTTAATAAAACAAAACGTGACGTTTCTGCCTTGCATTCTTCACGGCCCCTGCGTCCGCCTCCGACCTTGGCGTGCCCTGCGAGGCGCACCGAGAGGCATGGTCCCACGTTCAAGGCAAGCCAAGTGAGAGCCTCTTTGCATGCCCTGGACTCTACCCTTTGGACAACCCAGAGCCAGGGGCAGCATCGCGGTGCCCGGGTACAGAGGTGGCGGATGTGGGTGAGACAATGGACCAGGACCTCGCCCGGCCTGAGTCGGATGAGCCGCGTTGGCCGCAGCAGAGCCCCAAGGTTTGGCCTGGGGACTGTTCCACTCCTGCCTCTCCACCTTCCCCAGGCCGTCCGCCATCCAAACCACTACTCGGCTTTATTTATTGGGCCGGGCCGTTATTAATCATCGCCGTTAATGACTGTTCCACACTGTCCTACAGCCCCGTAGCCGAAGAGAGAGAGGGAGAGAAGGACGAAGCGAGTCAACTTGCCACGTGATTCCCCAAGCCAGCCGGGCTAGCTCTCCATCCTGGCCAGCCGGCATGGTCAGCCCTGACGCTGCACTCGATGGCTCCATTTTCCTCGACACGTTTGAGGCGCTCGGCCGGCCACGGCTCCAAATGTGTGTCCGGCAGCAGAGCGGGGAGATTTGGATCTTGCTCTTCAAGGGCCCCAGTTGCAGGAGTAGGTGAAAGGGCTCTTTTGTGCCTGGGTGCGCGGCGGGGAGCAGAGGGCTTCCCTCACCGAGGAGCTGCGCTTTCCCATTATTTATGCGTACAGCCTGCGCTAATGACATAGGTAAGTTGACAGCACACGTCCTATCAGCCCGCCGGAGTGTATCTCGATTGTTCAAACATACTCCGAAAGGTGCTCAAGCATTTATCAAACGAGAAGAGTGGCGCCGGGTTTCAAACGCCCCGAGTATCTCCAGCAGATCCTCCTTGCCTCGCCGCCACCCCCCTTCACAGCAAAGCCAGGTCCTCCAGGCGGGCGCCCACGGGGACACGCTGCACCGCTGGCAGGGCGAATGGCCTCGCCCAGCATTTGCCCAGCTCCGGCATCGCGGGAACCTGCCTTTTTTTCCACTCTCTGCTGTGTCACAAACTCCAGTACCAATCTCTTCATCCAGCAGGAAGTGATGGACTCCAGAAGCCCGACCAATTACATTTAGACTCGTGAAAAGCTCGGTGGCTAGTAAATTATAATTTTTATTAGCTTGAGCAATGTTCCCGTAAGCGAACGCGCGGAGTCCCCCACGAATGGCTCTTGCAGAATTTATTCAACTCCACGGGTCTTGCCAAAGCCCGGAATATTTTTAGCTCTTTCTGTTGTTGGGTTTGGTTTTGTGTGTGCGCGCGCGCGCGTGTGTGTGTATGTGTGTGTGTGTGTATGTGTGTGTTGGGTTTTTTTTTTACGCGCGTTTCTGGAGGCTTATTTTTAGACTTCTCCATGTTATTTTAACAGACTTCTTTGCATTTGGACATCCATATGTCACCCAGCCTCTCCAAGGCGGGTTTCTAAGAACAGCGGGTGTCGGTTTCTTCGCGGAGGAGGCATGCTGTGCACCCGGGCTTTGGCGGCGTCTCCCCTGCGCAGCGGCGCGGATATTCCTATAGCAAAATTCCACGTCTTATAGGAATAATTAGATGTGATGGGGCTGCAGCTCCCAGGGGAAAGAGGCGCATTCCAAAATTGGGCTTTAATTTCCCAGCGTGTGCGTTAACCGCAGCTGCTTTGCGTAACCCCGCGCGCCTTACAGTTTCTGTGCGAAAGATCAGCCCTGGCAGTTCCTAGCTGTTATCTGTGCGCTGCCTTTGATGTCTCATGCTACTTGTCATTTATAAGTAAAGATGGTTAGAGTCTTTAGAACGGGTCTTTGAACAGTAACTCTTTTAGCACCTATTTAATGCTGGGAACTGTGTTGCAAAAACACTCCGGGTGTCAGGGCGTTAATGAGGTATTTACAAAAATGTATTTTCTTTCATAATAATAAAATAATAATAATAACAACAACAATAATAATGATGATAATAATGATAATGTGGGGGTGGGAGAAAAATACCAAAGGACCAGACAGTTGGGGGGAGAAGGGGGCCTTGCGTTGCAGGGGATGTCTCACCAGGAAATGATCGTCTCTCTCATTGGATTTAATGATAACTGAATCCCTACCAAGATCTATTATCCCTGGTGACTGGGAGATTGGGGTAAAAGAAAGAGGTGCTCCATTAGAAATCCTTGGTTTGGGGTCCTTACAATTAATCTTTATTAATTAGTCTGATGATTATATTTGGATTCCTAGCCAGGCAGCGCTCAGATTATTTCTTATTGTCATTTCCACTCAGGCTGAAGTGTTGAAACACGCAGCTACCTTGCAAGGGGAAGGGGAAAAAACCCCCCAACACAACAAAGTTTGATATTTGGGGTTTTCCCTGTGAGATTAAACCCTCTCTCTTGCTAAACAAGAGAGTCAACAGCCATGTGAAACCCCCAACTGCTCGCAGCAGAAACACTGCTGAATAATCCTGCCTTTTTTATTTTTTTCTAAACTTTCACAGCTTTGACTTGGGACCATCTGCATTACAGACAAAAAAAAAAAAATCTCACGCTGCACTAAAAATAATGATACCAAACATTTTAATTGCACCTTTTGTGACAAGGTTACTATAACAGCACTTTACCATAAAAATCTCTACGGCGGGATTATAAAACTATCAGCACTCAATTTTAAGAAAAACAATTTGCTAAACATTAAACGCTAACTTCCAAATCAAGGTCTTTCGAGTCGACTTGGAAAAAAAAAAAAGCAGAGAGAGAAAGAAAAAGAGAGAGAGCATGGTTTGAAGGGAAAGCAAGAGGCGAGGATCTCCATGGGGAGAAAAATCCGCAGCCCGGGCAGCGTTAGGATAAATGCTCGATCAACTAATGCAGCCTCCTGGAATTTCGACTGCCTGACCGGACATAAAATGGCACTTTCCAAAGGGCCCATTCTCTTCCAGCCCGCACCCTCCCCCGGCCGATAGAGCCGGCTCCTCCTGGGCCCTTCCGCATTGTGCATTTCAATTATTAGTATTATTACCGCCATTATTATCGTTATTGTTGTTGTTATCATTATTATTATTATCCTCATGATTATGATTCTGTTTCTCCCAGCCTCTGCCTGGAAACCCAGCGAGCCGGCCCCCCTCGCAGGCAGCTCTGCCTGCTGCCTTCCCCGAGAGGTTCGGCGTCTACGTTTGAACGCAGAGAGCAGGAGGGCGAGGGAACATTAATAACCTTTTCAGCTCTAAAAAAAAAAGAGAGAGAGAGAGAGAGAGAGAGAATTGGCAAAGCTCCACGCAGCCTAGTCTGTATATTCACACTCAATGGCCTCTGGTCTGGGCCAGGTCTCTCTCTGTATTATAATTAAACACTCAGTGTCAAGATACCATCAATAATTTATTCTAGCGGAATCACCGATTTGCTTACCTGCAAATACCTCAAATTTTCTCCTCTCCCCTGAATTTCCCCTGTGAAACCTGAACCTCACTGCAGACTTTAGGGATGATAGCTATATATATATATTTTATATTTTTAAATTATGCTATGGGCCCGATTCAGGGAAGTCAGTGGCAGGAATTCACCCGGGTTGGAATCAGGGCTTATCTTGAAGCAAGACGGAGCCACCAACAGAAAGGAGGGCGGGGGAAAAGATTTAACAAACAAATCTAAGCAGGGGCCCTGTCCGGCTGGCATTGTAAAATGAACCTTGCTGACATCTGAATGCAAGTGCTCTGGAGATCCCAGAGACCGCTAGCATATCCAGGTTTGGGTCTGGGGGGTTGTTCTGACTTTCTGTTGTTATTGTTCCTTTTAAAGGGGGGGAAAAAAAGGCGGGGGGGGGGGAAAAGGGAAGCCACACTTCACCTGGGGAGCCGCCTGCAAAAATGATGATGTAATAATTTTAAATAAGGAGCATTTCCAAGTAAGTCTGCCTGGATGCAGGGCCTTTGTTAGTGGCACTTTTTTATTTTATCTCATCCTGCTAAAAGCCCATTAGCAATTATACCATTTTTTTTTTGGCACGTCATTTTTTTTTTTTAAAGGAAATTTACAGTTGCCTTTTGACGCTGCTCCCAGCTGACAACTCCCCCATTCCAGTCCATCTCATGCCATCCCTTTTAATCCACGCACTAATTGTAATCCCATTAAAGCAGATATAATTTTATTAGTATTCACAGTTCATCAAGCGAGCAATAAGAAGGGTTACTGCTGTGTGTTTTTTGGGTTTTTTTGTTTTTAAAAACTGCCAAAAAGAGAGAAGGAAAAAAAAGAAACACACACACACACACACACACACACACACACACACACACACACACAGAAAAAGAAAAACCCTCCTCTGATGTTTCAAGCAAACTGTAAACAAACCAGAGCAGCTCGGTGTGGTTTTGCAAGACTAGCATTATATCCATAAATCCAGAGCTGCAGCCTCTTGACTTCCAGAAGCAAGCGGCACCTTTCAGGCCCCGGAGCAGGGAGGGATGCCCTCGGGGGTGCGGGGTCCCCTCTGCGGATGCATGCCCAGCGGTGCCCGGGCCCTCCCAAACCCCTCCGCACCCACATGGCCCCTGCAAAGGGCCCTTCCCTCCGTGCACGGGGCTGCGGGGAGCGCGCAGGGAAGGGGTCACTCACCCGTGTGCGCCGCCATGGAGATGGGCGAGGGGAAGTACTTGCCCGGCTGGAAGTGGCCCGGGTGCTGG